TTTAGTCCTGGTTTAGTCCTGGTTAAGTCCTGGTTTAGTTCTGGTTTAGTCCTGGTTTAGTTCTGGTTTGGTCTGTTGTTGCTCGGTGCCTTTGTGCCCTTGGGCCTCACACTCTCGGGAGTTGAACCCTCGGCCGCTCGTCTCTCGGGGGTCGTCATGGAGACAGACGTCCCATCGGACCGAGAGGCGAGCACGTCGCCACGGCAACGACATCACAACTAAGGCTAACCACTCTGCCACAGGGTCAGGAGAGGACAACCGGGACTAAACCAGGACTAAACCAGGACTAAACCAGGTCTAAACCAGGTCTAAACCAGGACTAAACCAGGTCTAAACCAGGACTAAACCAGGACTAAACCAGGACTGAACCAGGACTAAATCAGGACCAAACCAGGACTAAACCAGAACTTAACCAGGTCTAAACCAGGACTAAACCAGGTCTAAACCAGGACTAAACCAGGACTGAACCAGGACTAAATCAGGACCAAACCTGGACTAGTCCAGGTCTGTGATTTGAATTCCTCGGTCTGTATGTAAATGGTTGACTGGACTGCTCAGGACTAGACCAGGACTAGACCAGGACTAGACCAGGACCAGACCAGACTCAGGACTAGATCAGGACTAGATCAGGACTAGACCAGGACTAGACCAGGACTAGACCAGGACCAGGACTAGACCAGGACTAAGGACTAACCAGGACTAGACCAGGACTCAGGACTAGACCAGGACTAGACCAGACTAAACCAGGACTAGACCAGGACTAGAGCAGGACTAGACCAGGACTAGACCAGACCAGGACTAACCAGGACTAAACCAGGACTAAGACCAGGACTAGATCAGGACTAGACCAGACCTAGACCAGGACTAGACCAGGACTAGATCAGGACTAGACCAGGACTAAGACCAGACTAGATCAGGACTAGACCAGACTAGATCAGGACTTAGATCAGATCAGGACTAGATCAGGACTAGACCAGGACTAAACCAGGACTAGACTCAGGACTAGATCAGGACTAGATCAGGACTAGACCAGGACAGGACAGACAGACCAGGACTAGACCAGGACTAGGACCAGGACTAGATCAGAGAAGAGACCAGGACTAGGACAGGACCAGGACCAGGACTAAACCAGGACTAGACCAGGACTAAACCAGGACTAGACCAGGATCAGGACTAGACCAGGACTAAACCAGGACTAGACTAGGACTAACCAGGACTAGACCAGGACTAAACCAGGACTAGGACCAGGACTAAACCAGGACTCAGATCAGGACTCAGACTCAGGACTTAAACCAGGACTCAGGACTAGACTAAACCAGGACTAGGACCAGGACTCAGGACTCAGGACTAAGGACCAGGACTTAGATAGGACTAGGACTAAACCAGGACTAGACCAGGACCTAAACCAGGACTAGGATAAACCAGGACTAGATCAGGACTAAACCAGGACTAAACCAGGACTAGACCAGGACTAAACCAGGACTAGATCAGGACTAGACCAGGACTAAACCAGGACTACATCAGGACTAGATCAGGACTAGACTAGGACTAAACCAGGACTAGACCAGGACTAAACCAGGACTAGATCAGGACTAGATCAGGACTAGACCAGGACTAAACCAGGACTAGATCAGGACTAGATCAGGACTAGACCAGGACTAAACCAGGACTAGATCAGGACTAGAGACTAGACCAGGACTAGACCAGGACTAACCAGGACTAGACAGGACTAGATAGATCAGGACTAGCCAGGACTAGACCAGGACTAAGATCAGGACTAGATCAGGATAGGATCAGGACTAGACCAGGATCAGGACTAGATCAGGACTAGACAGGACTAGATCAGGACTAGATCAGGACTAGACCAGGACTAGACCAGGACTAGATCAGGACTAGATCAGGACTAGACCAGGACTAGACCTGTCCATTTCACCTGTCACTCAGGCCCTGTATGTTTCACCTGTCACTATCCTGAAGGTCTGTGGTTCAAACCCCGATGTTACAGACGTTAGAGTCCTACAAATGTCCCACAAATGTCCCACAAATGTCCCACAAATGTCCCACAAATGTCCTACAAATGTCCTACAGGTGTGACAGGTGCGGCAGGTGCGGCAGGTGTGGCAGGTGTGGCAGGTGTTTGTAGGTTCTCACCGTCTTTGTGTCCAGTTCGTGTTTGTTCTGGGCCAAAACTTTGTCCACTCCAGCCTGATCCTCGAACGTCACGAACCCGAAACCTCTGAGACAGGTGAGAGACAGGTGAGACAGGTGAGACAGGTGAGACAGGTGAGACAGGTGAGAGACAGGTGAGAGACAGGTGAGACAGGTGAGAGACAGGTGAGACAGGTGAGAGACAGGTGAGACAGGTGGGGCAAATAAGACAGAGACAGGTGAGAGACAGGTGAGACAGTGAGAGACAGGTGAGACAGGTGAGACAGGTGAGAGACAGGTGAGAGACAGGTGAGAGACAGGTGAGACAGGTGAGAGGTGAGAGACAGGTGAGACAGGTGAGACAGGTGAGAGACAGGTGAGAGACAGGTGAGACAGGTGAGAGACAGGTGAGAGACAGGTGAGACAGTGAGACAGGTGAGAGACAGGTGAGACAGGTGAGAGACAGGTGAGAGACAGGTGAGACAGGTGAGAGACAGGTGAGACAGGTGAGAGACAGGTGAGACAGGTGAGAGACAGGTGAGAGACAGGTGAGAGACAGGTGAGACAGGTGAGACAGGTGAGACAGGTGAGACAGGTGAGACAGGTGAGACAGGAGAGACAGGTGAGACAGGTGAGAGACAGGTGAGAGACAGGTGAGAGACAGGTGAGGTGAGACAGGTGAGACAGGTGAGACAGGTGAGACAGGTGAGAGACAGGTGAGAGACAGGTGAGAGACAGGTGAGACGGTGAGAGACAGGTGAGAGGTGAGACAGGTGAGACAGGTGAGAGACAGGTGAGAGACAGGTGAGACAGGTGAGAGACAGGTGAGAGGACAGGTAGGAGAGACAGGTGAGAGACAGGTGACAGAGACAGGTGAGACAGGTGAGACAGGTGAGAGAGACAGGTGACAGGTTGAGACAGGTGAGACAGGTGAGACAGGTGAGACAGGTGAGAGACAGGTGAGGACAGGTGAGAGACAGGTGAGACAGGTGGTGAGAGACAGGTGAGACAGGTGAGAGACAGGTGAGACAGGTGAGACAGGTGAGACAGGTGAGACAGGTGAGACAGGTGAGACAGGTGAGAGACAGGTGAGACAGGAGACAGGTGAGAGACAGGTGAGACAGGTGAGACAGGTGAGAGACAGGTGTATAATAATAATACTAATATTATTATTATTATTATTATTATTATTATAAAACACAAACTGCAGGAAATAAATCAGCACAAGACGACAAGAAGAACGAGGAGATGGTGAAAGTTGTTCTAATGTTCTGTTGTTGTGTTGTTCTGTTGTTTGTTGTTCTGTTTTGTGTTGTTTGTTGTGTTGTTGTTGTGTGTGTTGTTGTGTGTCTGTTGTTTGTTGTTCTGTTGTTCTGTTGTTGTGTTGTCTGTTGTTTGTTGTTCTGTTGTTGTGTTGTTCTGTTGTTGTGTGTTGTTCTGTTGTTGTGTTGTTGTGTTGTTCTTTTGTTCTGTTGTTGTGTGTTGTTCTGTTGTTCGTTGTGTGTTCTTCTGTTGTGTTGTTGTGTTGTTCTGTTGTTGTGTTGTTGTGTTGTTGTGTGTTCTGTTGTGTTGTTGTGTGTTGTTGTGTTGTTGTTGTTGTGTGTGTTGTTGTGTTGTGTTGTTGTGTTGTTCTGTTGTTGTGTTGTTGTGTTGTTCTGTTGTGTGTTGTTGGTGTTGTTGTTGTTGTTGTGTTGTGTGTGTTTGTTGTTGTGTTGTTCTGTTGTTGTGTTGTTGTGTTGTTGTGTTGTGTTGTGTTGTTCTGTTTGTTGTGTTGTTGTGTTGTTGTGTTGTTGTTTGTTTGTTGTTGTGTTGTTCTGTTGTTTTGTTGTTCTGTTGTTTGTTGTTGTGTGTTTCTGTTGTTGTGTTGTTGTGTTGTTCTGTTGTTGTGTTGTTGTGTGTTGTTGTGTTGTTGTGTTGTTGTGTTGTGTTGTGTTGTTCTGTTGTTGTGTTGTTCTGTTGTTGTTGTTGTTGTGTTGTTCTGTTGTTTGTGTTGTTGTGTTGTTCTGTTGTTGTGTTGTTCTGTTGTTGTGTTGTTCTGTTGTTGTGTTGTTCTGTTGTTGTGTTGTTGTGTTGTTGTGTTGTTCTGTTGTTGTGTTGTTGTGTTGTTCTGTTGTTGTGTTGTTGTGTTGTTTTGTTGTTGTGTTGTTGTGTTGTTGTGTTGTTCTGTTGTTGTGTTGTTCTGTTGTTGTGTTGTTCTGTTGTTGTGTTGTTCTGTTGTTCTGTTGTTGTGTTGTTGTGTTGTTGTGTTGTTGTGTTGTTGTGTTGTTCTGTTGTTGTTGTTCTTGTTGTTGTTCTGTGTGTGTGTTGTTGTGTTGTTGTGTTGTTGTGTTGTGTTGTGTTGTTGTGTTGTTCTGTTGTTGTGTTGTGTTGTTGTGTTGTTCTGTTGTTCTGTTTTGTTGTGTTGTTGTGTTGTTCTGTTGTTCTGTTGTTGTGTTGTTCTGTTGTTCTGTTGTTGTTGTTGTTCTGTTGTTGTTGTTGTGTTGTTGTTGTTCTGTTGTTGTGTTGTTCTGTTGTTGTGTGTTGTTCTGTTGTTGTGTTGTTGTGTGTTGTTCTGTTGTTGTGTTGTTCTGTTGTTGTGTTGTTTGTGTTGTTCTGTTGTTGTGTGTGTGTTGTGTTGTTCTTTGTTGTGTTGTTTTCTGTTGTTCTGTTGTTGTTGTTGTTTGTGTTGTTTGTTGTTGTGTGTTCTGTTGTTCTGTTGTTGTTGTTGTTGTGTTGTTGTGTTGTTCTGTTGTTCTGTGTTTGTTGTGTTGTTGTGTTGTTGTGTTGTTCTGTTGTTGTGTTGTTGTGTTGTTGTGTTTGTTTGTTTGTGTGTTGTCTGTTGTTTGTGTTGTTGTGTTGTTCTGTTGTTGTGT